GCCGCCCGCGCCCCCCCGCCCGCCGCTCGCGCTCGCGGCGCCGCTCGCGCTCGCCGTCGCCCTCCCCCGACCGCGGCCGGCGGCGGCGGCGCGGCCGGAGCCGCTCGGAATCTTCCGGAAAGTCCCGCGGGCGCGGCGGCGGGGGCGGGGCCAGGAGGAGCCGCTCCCTGTCCTCGCCCCTCCCCAAGAAACGGGCGCGGTCGCGCTCGGCGACGCCGGCGCGGCGCGGCCGCAGCGACAGCCCCTCCCCCGCTCGCCCCTCCCCCAGCCCGCCCCCCGCGACGTCGCGCCCCTCCCCCGCGCCCACCCCTCCCCCCGCGCGGCCGAAGTGGGTCCCCCTGGCCGAGCTGAACCCGGCGCCGGCCGCCTCCAAGTGGGTCCCCATCGGGGGGGGGCAGCCCCTCCCCCCGCAGCCCCTCCCCCCGCAGCCGGCGCCGCCCGGCACCGAAACCGCCAAGTCGGGCGGGGAGGGGGCGGGGCCCGAGGAGAAAACGGCGGAGGCGGCAAGCAAAGCCTCGCCGGGGGCCGCCAAAACCGGGGCGGGGAGCGGCGACGTCAAAACGGCCGTGGGTGAAACCAAGATGGCCGCCGGCGAAACCAAGATGGCCGCCGGCGAAACCAAGATGGCCGCCGGCGAAACCAAGATGGCCGCCGGCGAAACCAAGATGGCCGCCGGCGAAACCAAGATGGCCGCCGGCGAAACCAAGATGGCCGCCGGCGAAACCAAGATGGCCGCCGGCGAAACCAAGATGGCCGCCGGCGAAACCAAGATGGCCGCCGGCGAAACCAAGATGGCCGCCGGCGAAACCAAGATGGCCGCCGGCGAAACCAAGATGGCCGCCGGCGAAACCAAGATGGCCGCCGGCGACGGCAAGATCCCCAACGGCGACGCCAAAGCCCCGCCCCACCCCCTCCCCAAAGCGGAGGCCGCCCCTCCCAAAGCCACGCCCACGCCCGCCCCTCCCCCCGCCACCCCCAAATCCCCTCCCCCCGCCGCCGCGGCGGCGCGTCCGGCGCCGCGCCCGACGCCGCGCCCGGCCGCCGCGCTGGGCACGCCGCCGCCGCCGCCACCGGGGCTGCCGCGGGCGCTGTCGCGGGCGCCGGGCGGGACGCTGGGGACGCTGCTGCCGGCGGCGCGCCTCAGTTTACCTTCCTCGCCCGTGGCCGCCTCGGCGCTGCCGCCGCTGACGACGCTGGGCAAGGCGGGCGCGGCGCCGCGGGCCGGCGGCGCAAAGATGGCGGCCGGGCCCGGCAAGATGGCGGCGGCCAGGGTGGGCGCCGGGGTCATTTCCGGGGTCGCGGCGGGGGTTTCTAAGGTCGCTCCCGGGGTCACTCCCGGGGTCACTCCCGGGGTCACTCCCGGGGTCACTTCCGGTGTTTCCGTGGTCGCTTCCGGGGTCAGCCCAGGGGTCACTCCCGGGGTCAGTCTTGGGGTCACTTCCGGTGTTTCTGGGGTCACTCCGGGGGTTTCTAAGGTCACTTCCGGGGTCACTCCCGGGGTCAGCCCAGGGGTCACTCCCGGGGTCACTTCCGGTGTTTCTGGGGTCACTTCCGGGGTCACTTCTGGTGTTTCCGTGGTCACTCCCGGGGTCATTTCCAGTTCCGGTGTCACTCCCGGTGTCTCTTCCGGTGGCTCCGGTGTCACTCCCGGTGTGATTTCCGGTTCCGGTGTCACTTCCGGTTCCGGTGTCACTCCCGGTGTCACTTCCGGTGGTTCCGGTGTCACTCCCGGTCCCGGTGTCTCTCCGGCTGTTCCCGCCAGATCCGTCCCCTCCGGGGTCTCCCCGCTGGGCGCCGCCATCCTCAGGGCCAGCGCCGACGCCAACGCCAAAGCCACGGCCATGGCGGCGCTGGCCGGCGGCCACCGGCTGACCAGTAACACCAGTAACACCAGTAACACCAGTAACACCAGTAACACCAGTAACACCAGCGTGACCGGCGGTGTGACCGCCCACGCCGCGGCCAAGGCAACCGGTGTGACCAGTGTGACCAGTGTGACCAGTGTGACCAGTGTGACCAGTCCGGCTCCGGCCACTGCGGCCAGTGTGACCAGTTTGACCAGTCCGAGTCAAACCAGTTTGACCAGTCCGGCTCCGGCCGCCACAACCAGTTTGACCAGTGTGACCAGTCCGAGTCAAACCAGTTTGACCAGTCCAACTCCGGCCACTGCGACCAGTTTGACCAGTCCAACTCGTCCCAGTGTGACCAGTCCGGCTCCAGCCACCGTGACCAGTTTGAGCGGTCCGAGTCAAACCAGTTTGACCAGTCCAACCAGTTTGACCAGTGTCACCAGTGCTCAGAAGGCCACTGGTGTGACTGGAGTGACCAGTCCGGCTCCGGCCACTGCCACCAGTTTGACCAGTCCGGCTCCAACCAGTTTGACCAGTCCAACTCATCCCAGTTTGACCAGTCCAGCTCCGGCCACTGTGACCAGTCCGGCTCAAACCAGTGCGACCAGTTTGACCAGTCCGACTCCAACCAGTTTAACCAGTCCAGCTCGTCCCAGTTTGACCAGTCCGGCTCCAACCAGTGCGACCAGTCCAGCTCCGGCCACCACGACCAGTTTGACCAGTCCAACTCGTCCCAGTTTGACCAGTCCAGGTCCAACCACTGCGACCAGTTTGACCAGTCTAAGTCAAACCAGTTTGACCAGTCCAACCAGTGTGACCAGTCCAGCTCGTCCCAGTTTGACCAGTTTGACCAGTCCAACTCGTCCCAGTTTGACCAGTCCAGGTCCGGCCAGCGTGACCAGTGTGACCAGTCCGGCTCGTCCCAGTATGACCAGTATGACCAGTGCTGCGGCTCCCAGTGTCACCAGTAGGGGCGTGGCCACAGCTCCCAGTAACACCAGTGTGGGCGTGGCCACGGCTCCCAGTGCTCCCAGTATGACCAGTAACACCAGTACCATCAAACCTGCGGCTCCCAGTGCTCCCAGTGTCACCAGTACCACAGTTCCAGTTGCTCCCAGTGCTCCCAGTGTCACCAGTATGGGCGTGGCCACGGCTCCCAGCGCTCCCAGTATCACCAGTCACACCAGTACCATCAAGTCTGCGGCTCCCAGTATCACCAGTACCAGCATTCCTGCGGCTCCCAGTGCTCCCAGTACAACCAGTACTGGCATTCCTGCGGCTCCCAGTATCACCAGTAACACCAGTACCGTCAAAGCTGCGCCTCCCAGTGCTCCCAGTAACACCAGTGCGACCGTTCCAGCGGCTCCCAGCGCTCCCAGTATCACCAGTACCATCACGGCCGCCGCTCCCAGTGCTCCCAGTATGACCAGTACCATCACGGCCGCCGCTCCCAGTGCTCCCAGTATCACCAGTAGGAGCGTTCCAGCGGCTCCCAGTTTGACCAGTATCACCAGTACCACCGTCCCTGCGGCTCCCAGTGCTCCCAGTATCACCAGTACCACCGTCCCTGCGGCTCCCAGTATAACCAGTAACACCAGTACCACAGTTCCAGCGGCTCCCAGCGCTCCCAGTGCTCCCAGTATGACCAGTGCGACCGTTCCAGCGGCTCCCAGTATCACCAGTACCACAGTTCCAGCGGCTCCCAGTGCTCCCAGTACGACCAGTGCGACCGTTCCAGCGGCTCCCAGTATCACCAGTATCACCAGTACCACAGTTCCAGCGGCTCCCAGTGCTCCCAGTATCACCAGTACCACAGTTCCAGCGGCTCCCAGTGCTCCCAGTATCACCAGTACCACAGTTCCAGCGGCTCCCAGTGCTCCCAGTATCACCAGTACCACAGTTCCAGCGGCTCCCAGTGCTCCCAGTATCACCAGTACCACAGTTCCAGCGGCTCCCAGTGCTCCCAGTAACACCAGTACCACAGTTCCAGCGGCTCCCAGTGCTCCCAGTATCACCAGTACGACCGTTCCAGCGGCTCCCAGTGCTCCCAGTATCACCAGTACGAGCGTTCCAGCGGCTCCCAGTGCTCCCAGTAACACCAGTACCACAGTTCCAGCGGCTCCCAGTGCTCCCAGTATGACCAGCGCCACCGTTCCAGCGGCTGCCAGCGCGGCCCCGCCCACCGCTGACGTCACCGCTGACGTCACCAAGAGCTCCTCCTCCTCCTCGTCTTCCTCCTCCTCCTCCTCCTCCTCCTCCTCGTCCGACTCCGACTCCGACTCCGACTCCAGTTCCAGCTCTTCCGACTCCGCCCCGCCCTCGCCGGCCCCGCCCACCGGGTAAGGCCCCGCCCCCCTCGCGCGTTCCCATTGGTCGGATTGTTTCCCCGCCCCCTTTCCCCCCATCTGGCCACGCCCTTGTGCAGCTGATTGGGTGATTAAGCCACGCCCCCTTTTTTCCTTATTTGGGGTTAAGGGGAGGAGTCGTGATTAACACGGGGGTGTTGAGGCCACGCCCCCTTTTCCCCTTATTTGGGGTTAAGGGGAGGGATCATGTGATTGATACAGGTGTTGAGGCCACGCCCCCTTTTCCCTTTATTAGTGGTTAAGGGGAGGAGTCGTGATTGACATGGGTGTTGAGGCCACGCCCCCTTTTCCCCTTATTAGTGGTTAAGGGGAGGGGTCATGTGATTGACACGGGGGGTGTTGAGGCCACGCCCCTTTTTTCCTTATTAGGGGTTAAGGGGAAGAGTCATGTGATTGACACGAGGGGTGTTGAGGCCACGCCCCCTTTTCCCCTTATTTGGGGTTAAGGGGAGGGGTCATGTGATTGACACATGTGTTGAGGCCACGCCCCTTTTTCCTTATTAGGGGTTAAGGGGAGGGGTCATGTGATTGACACGGGGGGTGTTGAGGCCACGCCCACCCCTGTACGGTGTCCCCCAAGGGTCACTCCAATGTCCCCAGTGGTCACTCCAATGTCCCCAGTGGTCACTTCAGTGTCCCCAGTGGTCACTCCAATGTCCCCAGTGGTCACTCCAGTGTCCCCAAGGGTCACTCCAATGTCCCCAAGGGTCACTCTGTCCCTGTCCCGTGTCCCCAAAGCCCCGCCCCCCCAAAGCC